CTGTTTGCATTGTGCCAGCAGAAGTGTGTGGGGGGGATTAAATATAGAAATATATCGCCTTAGTCAGCTCAATATGAGTGGTCGGCACAGAAACATTACTTTATTTTCCTTTAGAAAGTAGAATGAGGGTGTTTTTAGATTAAGAACCTATGGCCCAACTGGTAGTTGGTAGATAATTCCATTAGCCAGCAGCCATATCACCCTGCAACTCACAACTGGCAGCCCCACTGGAGCTCAGCAGGTGTGAGCCTGGTCAGTACCTGGATGGGAGACCTCTGGGAAAAACTAAGGTTGCTGCTGGAAGAGGCGTTAGTGGGGCCACTAGACTGTAAACAGGCGCCGTCCTTCGGATGAGATGTAAAACCGAGGTCCTGACTCTCTGTGGTCATTATATCCCAGGGCGTTTCTCGAAAAGAGTAGGGGTGTAACCCCAGTGTCCTGGCCAAATTTCCCCATCGGCCTTTATCAATCATGGCCTCCTAACAATCCCCCTCTCTGAACTGGCTTCATCCCTCTGCTCTCCTCCCCACTGAGAGCTGGTGTGTGTGAGAGGACTGGAGCATCATCCAGGTGGGGCTGCACACTGGTGGGGGTGGAGGGGATCCCCATTGCCTGTAAAGCGCTTTGAGTGGAGTGTCCAGAAAAAGCGCTATATAAGTGTAAGCAATGATTATTATTATTACCGGAACGGGGCGTGTTTCGTTCGATTTGAGCAGGGCCCCAGACTCCTCTCTCCTCTGTCTCTTGCCCCCACTCCAGTACTCGCTGGCCTACGCCTGCCTGAAGCTGGTCAACTACTCCTTTTTCTTCTGGCTGCCCTTCTACCTGAGCAACAACTTCGGCTGGGAAGAGGCCGAGTCTGACCGGCTGTCCATCTGGTACGACGTGGGAGGGATCGTAGGTAGGCGGGCCGTTCTGGTTTCCCGGCTCTTCTTGCTTGTTGGGAGGCAGCTGGTTACGGACTTTGTCACGCCCGTAGAGAACGCGCACACACACAGGAGAGACGCATACACCTGCAGGAGAAGCACACACACGCACGCAGGAGAAGCACAAACAAACAAACACACACACACACACACACACACACACACAGGAGAAGCACAAACTAGCATACACACACACAAAGCACACGCACACACAGGAGAAGCACAAACTAGCATACACACACACAAAGCACACGCACACGCAGGAGAAGCACAAACTAGCATACACACACACAGAAGCACACGCACACGCAGAAAAACACATGCACGCAGAAGAAGCACACACACAAGCATGCACACACACGCAGGAGAAGTACACACACGCAGGAGAAGTACACACACGCAGGAGAAGTACACACACGCAGGAGAAGCACACACAAGCATACACAAGCAGAAGAAGCACACACAAAAGCATACACACACACGAAGAAGAAGCACACACAAAAGCATACACACACACGCAGAAGAAGCACACACACAAGCATGCACACACACA